CATATTGTATAATGTTGAAGATAAAAAAAATAAATATTATATGTCTGGCACCTATGATATTAGAGATAATCTTTTAAAGGAGTTCTCCTTTTGTTGTCATTTGTAATTAAAATTACAAATATATAAAAAAATTCATAAAATTTTTATACGTATGAATTTTTTAGAATTTTCTCCGTACTTTCGGATAAAAAAGTTGATTTTAATGAGAAAAAATGAATAGTGTGGCAAAAATCAATTTTTTAACTTTAAGTAAGTATTAGGTATATAACTAAGTTCCCGCCGTTAAATATCACAATTCTTTTATTAACGCAAAAGGAACAATGCAATTGTTTTAATCAAAATATTTTCTGTTCGCATTTACCATCTTTTAAGAGGCATACGAATGCCGTGGCGAAAGAATGTCTTGTCTCTTAACACAATAAAGTCATTGACCCATTTTTTATAACATCCGTTTCATTTTGATAGTACATTTTGGAAACACTGTGCTGCATCAATCGAAATAAGAAATAATCAGACGGCGCGATGTCTGGAGAGTACGCTGGGTGGGGAAAGATTTCCTATTCAAGATAATACAGCACTTGTTTGATTTTATATGCAACATCTTACATTATCGTGGAACAAATTGATTGTGCGTCATTTTGAAACAACTGCCGGTCGCTTCTTTTAAATTGGTTGACTCAAATAAGTTTTTAACCATTTAAGTTCAAGCAATTGAAAAGAAACGAATGATAGTTGCCTTGAAGCGACAAGATTATTTTGCTCCACAACAATGCGAGGGCTCATGTTGCTCATAAAGTCAAATAAACACTGTATCATCTTAAATGGAAAATCCTTTCCCACCCAGCATACTCTTCAGACATGGCGCGATCTGATTATCACTTATTGATGCAGCATACCGTCTCCAAAATAAACCAGATATCATGAAATGATTCGACGACTTCATTAAAAGATGAAACATTCTTTCGCCGCGGTATTCGTATGCTGCCTGAAAGATGGCAAAAGATGATAAATGCAAACGGCAAATGTTTTGATTAAAATCATTGTATTGTTTCTTTTATATCAAAAGAATTTTGATAATTACGGCGGGAACTTAGTTATACACTTAATAAAAAAAAAATGAAAAATTATATCCACTTTTAAAAATCTGAATAAATTTTCAAAAATACTCCAATATACAAAGTGATCTGAAATTCTCGCATTCGGAGACATAATATTTTATGCTAAAAGAAACAACTTTTTCCTTTTGCAAATTGCGTCTGATAAGTAGTTTTTGCAGGAAAGCAGGTTGAAGTTATACGAGTAAACGCAAAAATTATTTATCGGATGTAATTTTACTACAGGAAAAAGTTGTTCATTTAAGCACAAAAACAACTTTTTCCTTTAGCAAAATTGCGTCCGATAAGTAGTTTTTGCAGGAGAGCAGATTGAAGTTAACAAATAAGCAGGGTTGGTAAACGTTACTTTTCAGTTACTTTGTCGTTACTTTTTATAGTAAACAATTTGATGACAATGTTGCAATTTTTTATGACGATAACGCTAACTAACTAAACGCTAAGGTTATACTAAAGTTAGAAAAGTCACTTTGAAAAGTAACTTGTCACTATTATGCGTTACACCGAAAAAATTATAAGTATAACGAGTAACGCGTTACAAATTAAAAGTTATTTTTTTCAGTAACGAATGACTTTTTCAATCCATTACAAGTAACGATTGACTTTTCTAACTCTGATGTTAGCATTACCATCATAAAAAATTCACAATGTCATTATCAAATTATTATTATAACAAGGTAACAATCAACAAAGTAACGGCGTTACAAGTAACGCGTTACTTGCCAACCTTGCAAATAAGCGCAAAAATTATTTATTGGACGCAATTTTGCTAAAAGAAAAAATTGTTTGTTTCAGCATAAAGTATCATGTCCTATACTCCGAATGCGGGAATTTCGGATCACTCTGTATGTATAATAGAATATGATGCCGCAAAGGAAATTTTGGGATCGCAATTGGATCCACTAGTAAATGAATTCTTTTTCCTAAGCAAAATTTGAATTTCCACCAAAACTTGATAATATCGCTTTATTAATTAATCTAATTACTTAATACTACATAATACATTTATATAATATATAACTAATTACTCAACACTACGTAATATATTTTTAACATACAGGGTGTCCCAAAAAGGACGGGACACCTGAATATCTCGGAAAGCATAATTTTTACAGAAAAGTGTTTGAGACAAAAGTTGTTGGGTTTAAAAAGATCTATTTATTGATCTTATCAGTTTGATTTTGGGTGGCGTCTCCTAGGTTAGGTTAAGATCACATCGATTTTTTTAAATAGAATACCCTACTTTTGATTCCAGAATCTAATAGCCGATATCAAGAGCTTTCCAAACACAATAATAAAGTTATTTTTTATTGAATTCTTTTCGAGTTAAGGCTCGAAAGTTATTTATAATTTAAAATAAATCTGTCACATTTCGCCGCGCGACAAGCATTTTCGCGTTCAATATGCAGGAGCCATAAATTAATGGAAATATTATAATTAATAATCATATAACGTGTAATTGACGTATGTTTCTACATGTGACAGCAGGTAATTACTCAAAAACCAAAATGTTTTTTAATATCTCTGTAAAAATGCTGAAAAATTTGTAAAATCTTGCGCAGTGATATGTATTATATATTATAATTCCTAATACGTACAATGTTGCAGCGTATTCAGCAATATTACTGCAAGTTTCTGTGCTGTATGGGAAGTCAAATTTTCGTATACCACGCTAAAACTTATCATGAATTGGATATATTGCAAAGTTTTTTATGAAAATTAGTACTAAAAGTCGTCAATGCAAAGCACTAAAATGTTTAATCCACATAGGCTGCGTTAGGGAACATCCGGGTGCTCCTGCGTGTGTGTGTGTGTATTTGTGCGTGTGTTTGTGCGTGCGCGTGCATGCGTATGTATTTGTGCGTGTGTGTTTGTACGTGCGCATGCGCGAGTGGAGGAGGGATAGGGTAGGGCGACGGGGTTGGGGTATGTGTGTGTATCATCTTATCCTTGTTTAACATTGAGCAACAAGGATAAAACGATACAAGGGGACACGAGTGATATTTCTGAACGCAACCATATTATGCAAAAAAGAAACTTCAGTGTGTCCAATGACAGAGAAAACCAAGAAAACCAGATCGGTCATTTAAAATTCGTCATCATTGATGTTTTCATTTAATTAATAGATTCGTAGCTAACTTTTCTAAAGCACGCATAGATCCATTCTGATAAAAAAATTTGATTACCGCAACTCTACGTAAAACTGAATGTGGAGGACGCCATTTTAGATTCCCTATATTCATAATTTGTCATTTTTAAAAACAGAATCATGATGAGTAACCTTTAATATCTCTAAATGTCAATTATCGTGAAAAATTTTTGCAATACATTCGATTCATGACCGTAAATAAGTTCTAGCGTGATATAAGAAAATTCGACTTACAAAAGGAAATACTTATAACATCAAAAAAAGCTACTTTCCCCCCCCATTTCTGGGATAATAAAACTATTTTTACTATTTCATGTGGATCCCAAGTAAACTACTACTTGTGTTTAACTAAAATTCCGCAGGAGGCAAAAAAATCGGAATTTTTTAACATCCTCCTTACACGCAAATATTTATAGCATATAGCGGATACTCTCTTCAAAACGGTACCCATATTGTTCATGATTCTTCGGGCACCCGTATTGCACACGGTTCTGCAGATACCCGAATCGTACACGGCTCTGCCCGCTAACTCGGATACCCACAGAACTGATCCGGATCCGTATGCACGGAGCAGGCGGGCGGGTATTCGGATACTCGGGTACTCGGGTATTCCGAACTCTACTATAAACCATTATAACTGTGCAAAAGATAAACTGTGTAAGAAATTCAGCTAGAAAGAATAGATTTCTGCATCAATGATGCGAACTTTCAATTTAAAATTTCAGCTGGATGTATTGCTGGATACTAATGATATCCAACCGGATAATAAAGAAGTGTCGAATAATACCGAATACCGGATATTTTCCGGATATCCGGTGAATTCTTTATATACTATTATTAGAAGAGAACACATTGTGATACAGAAATTGCCGAAAAAATAAATAAATAAAACTTAACAAATATTTCAATAACAAAAAAAGTAAATATAGCGTATACTTATTGCTCTCTTTTATTTGAGAATCTTTGATTATGCATATTTTCAGATCGCATATCTCAAAAGATATTTTAGTGCCTAATTGTGTTATTATAAAATATTGCTTTAAAAATATTTCATTCTCAATCATTACAGCCTGCAGCGTGGAATCAGTACAAGGAATTTCAAAGTTAAAAACGTAGAAAGATGACAGCATCCGTTAAATATTTTTCCGTGGTACGCTGCTAAATTACACACACTCTCAGCAATATAAATACAATAATTTTAAATATAACGATAAAATATGTAACGATCAAAGCATCATCCATATTACAATGTAATCAAATTTCTTTCCAGTCCAAATATCTTTCTTTTATTATCACATCAGATGTCAATATTTTTCTGTGATGCAACGATCGGGAATTGATCAACGATTATTCATTGATCGTTAATTTCTGATGACTGTCAGAAAAGGATATGACTCTTAAATGTATGAATTTATACGCGCATGTAATTAAAATTGAATTAAATTATTATTTAATTAAATTAATATTGCTCTGAGAAAATTTAAAAAAACTTTAATATAGATGAAAGGACAAAAATGTTTTAAATGATTTTAAAAACATGTAAATACAAAAATGATGTATAGTATGTATTTGCGAGCGTGTTTTGCTTCTCTTCGTCTTCACTTTCTTTCCTGTTTATTAATCCCTTCAGAACTGACGTAGAGTTGTACCGATTATACGTTTACAGAGATTTTGAAGGGTCAAACTTTGCGAGTAATTGTAAGAATTGCCCGATCACAGTCACTTTGCTGATACGGCCCTTAGTTGTTCTTGCTGCTGTTGAGAGTGACATCCAGCGGCTCGTCCATGGTCTGCACAATATTCTGTTGCTGGTGATTGCTTGATAAGTGGTGAAATAACGAATGTCTAACGGACGTGGGATGGTGGGCCTTTAGAGTGAGATCCATTTCGGCTTCCTGTGGCCGCTCTCTCGTTGCCAGGCTGTCACCACGGTCCGCGGGACTCGCGCAGATCCTGGGCGGCGTTCCGCATCGACATTTGAGCCTGTCGAGCGATTTGTCGCAAGGTACCGAGTATCTGCGAAATGACGTCAGGCAAACAGTGAAATTAATTGTAAGATTTGCTAATATTTTCTGATACATAAATTAAATGGGGTAATATTTCCCAGAACAATAATGTAAATTCCGCAGAAAACATTTTCTTTATTCCGATGAATTTATAGATATTGATATATGAAATATCAATTTCCTATAAGAGGTATGCAAAAACATCCAGTCCGATATTCATAATCGAATCTTAAGACCGTTTTAAGTTCAGTCTTAAGAAATCATGAATCAATAAGATAGCCATATTAGCATCTTAAGGCATTACTTAAGACAGTCTAAAATAAGAACGGACTATGAATAGCGCCTTTAGAATTTAATGTATAAAACTGAATTGAATTTTGAATCACTATTGTCTTTTTTCCTCATTGTGATTTATTTTGCAACCATAGTGGAATGTTTCTCATCGTGAATATACCTACCCTGATAGCAAAGCCTGCGAAGACAGGTTTGAGTAGAGCCTACTACCAATTTTTGATTGCAGAAAGGCAACAAATTGTACACAGAATTTGTATTATCCGACACTGTCAACAAATTGCTGTCAGAAATATGACAAGGCCTGCTAGACATATATGCTATGCCAGCAGATTGGTAGAAGAAATCGAATAAAGTCTTGGGTACCTATCATGAAAAGGATCGGAATGGATTCCAATCGGAATTATTCAATTATTCCTTAGATTTCGCTTGTGTTTTCTAGAGAAAATAATTCCGATTGGAATTCATTCCGGCTTATTCCATGATAAGTACCTTGCATAACTTGACGGCAGATTAAACGGTATATTTGTGGCACTGTGACCCTTAAATGGATAAGAAATCTTTATAAGAACTTTAAAAAAGAAGAATAAATATTATATTATGACGAAGAAGAAGTCGAAATAAATAACTTGAAGCCTTGAAAGTTGTTTATTTTATATTAAAATTAGTTAATTTTATCTTAATTAATTAGAGTTTTTAAATTTGTAGGTCAATCTTCAAAGTTTAATGTAATGTTACTATGTTGTAATGTTGTTATGTTAAATACTTTTAACTAACATTTAAAAATGTTACAAAATAATGTAATATGTATAATAACAATATAGCGATATAATATAGTAGTAATATAACATTTGAATAAATGAAGTTACACTTTTTATAGCTTTTAAAGAAATAGAACAGTTCACTTTATTCAGACTATCTCACAAGTGGTTTTTACTTCGTGTCACAATTCCACTTAACTATTCTCGCGTCGCGTTATGTACTTTATAATTAAGTCGACAAACAGAGTAACGCGACGTTTTTCGTTTCAAAGTCTGACCGCATCTGCAGTTGCGCTTTTATATATCGTAATTTTCGGGGCAACCTTGGGCTTTCCGCGTTGGTCCGTCAGCGTTCCGCTTATCGGACGAGGCCAGTTTCCACGCAAACATCTTGAGTCCGCGTTTCTACAGTTTATAGTTTACGTCCGCTCAGGGTCTTCTTTTATATTAATTATATTTAATAAATTCACTTCGTCACTAACTCAGTTTAATTTTTAATCGTTTATATTCCTTGACACGTTTCTGACGCAATTGTGCAATTAGCACTCGTGACATATTTAATATATATTATTATATAGTAATATAATAATATAATTTAAAATATACAATAACATTTTTAATTCTTAATATTTTAAAAATTTGCAATTAAGGATGTATGGGTGATATTTCAATATAATAACAAAATTATGAAAAAAATACAGATTATTCTAAATCACATTTAAAAATAATATGACAAATTTGGTGATGAAATTTGGTGACGGTTTACTATTTCATAAGTTATTAATAAATAGTAGTCACGTCTTGACTCGGTGAAATTATTAATTTACTTAATCGGGAAAGGGATATAACGAGAGACGCGTGAGGTGGAACCTCAGCTCCAGACCGTTATGAGTCTGCTCGTAGAACAATTAAATATTTACGTTTCTCGGCACGTTTCGTGACCCTTTCGGGACTCTGTCAGAAGCGCATCATCACAATGCCACACATAGGCAACGATGTCGCTCTCGCGGCGCAGCGAAGATTATCACCACGCACAGAGTCTTTAGAAAGGGACAGGAAAGTGAAATAAATGAAGAAAAATTATTCTTATTTAACGATCTTTATTTTGAAGCTGTAACTTTCGTTACTCACGATCCTCAAGCCAGTATTATGCAATTTCCTAGTGATTATGATGGGTCGCGTGGGGATCCGTCTGAGAGCTTTCGCGGTATCAGGCGGGGAAAGTCTCGTCACGGAGACGCAATGTACCTCTGAGGGTGTTGATATCGAACGCGATGAAGGGTGAGGGAAAGTCGCGTTAGGCTTTAGGACCGTGCCGTGGTCAGCACTAGGGGTCTCGAATACCGACGGGTTGAACTCCGCGTGTTCATGCAACGTCTTGGTGAGCCTTCTTAATTGGCACCGCCAGCCACCTCGTCGTGATCTACCCATCTACGTACATAACAATGGGTTTATCATAGTCCCCATAAGAGAGAGAGAGAAAAATAATAATAAAAGAAAAATGGAAGAATAAAGATGGACAAGAGTCTAGTATGAACTAAGGCTCTACTCGGGGTAGTAGTACAATCATTATAAAATTTGACCTCGAAAAAAATACCTTCAGGCTGCCCTATTTGTATAATTATTTCTCTTAGCGGCCACTGTACAATGGTAAATTTTTTTTCTCTTTCAATCTTATGCAAAAATAAAGATCTGTGCAAAAATTCAACTTGAAAGTATTTTTTCCGAGATTTCGTTCAATTTTCGTCTAAATTGACTGTACTATATAAGGTACCATTGAACACAGAGTTCAGTTGCAAAATCGAGGGCCTAAAAAAACAGGCGATTTGGGGCTAGTCTTCGAAGGAAGGCTGTATATGAGAAGACCACCAAATCAGGATTTGCTATCTAAATATATTAGAAAAACCATAGAATATTTCTCTATTTTTTTAACTCCTTCTGGACCACTCCAATTTCCTTTTACAAATTGTAATCTGCATCTTTCAAGAGTAAAGAAATGTGAAATATGCAACGTTCGTTCTTCAGGAATGCGTGTTTGAAACATAAATCGTGCGATAAAGACCTATGACGGGAAAACGCGACGGAGTGTTTGCAGCGTGATTAGATTTTGCGACGATTGCGGATGTTTAATAAAATCGACGAAAGAACACGAATGTGGTGTTTCTTTTTATAAAATTTGCAGTTCGCCACAACACACACACACCTGTAAATCATTTATGTTACATGCAACCTCTTTCTCGTGAAGATAGATCCTCCGTTGACAAATCCTCTGGAGGAGCTGAATTTTTGAAGAAAGCTTTATTTTGGCATAACAAATAATGACACAAACGTTCCCATCGATATATTGTACGGAAAAGCCGCCATATTAAGTCAAAGGTATCACAAAATCGACTTTCGAAAATAACTCAGATGTCCCTAAAAATACGTATTCTTGATCTAATTCTAAGATGATTTTTTCTTTATGGAAATTTTGTCCGAAGCTTAGTTTTCAAATTACAAGAAGAAATAGCGTATCACGGGCCGTGTAAGACCCTATAAGCGCAAAATGTTCCTAGAATGTTACATGAATATTATTAAAAAAAAATTAAAATAATGTTATTATAATATTTCGAAAATATCATAAATATTTGTTTAATATTACAGGAGTATTCTATAGAGGTTATATGTCCACTTATATAATAAACCTAGGTATTATATTTTAATATTCCTGAAACATTATTAAAATATTAATAAATATTAATTATTTTTAATTTTGTGCAATTTGAATTCACAATCCAGTAACGAAAAGTTCTTATCAGTCTATGCTGCA